CAGCGCTCTGGGGCGAGCTGTCGCCCGCGCCACCCGGCCGGGCTCGTGCTCCGAGGGTGCGGGAAGGGTGTGTTCCGGCCTCCGCAGGCCCGGGTCTCGCCGCCTCTGCCCGCAGCTGCACATCACCCCCGCAGCGATTCCCCACGCGTGTCACCGTCCCGCCACCCACGAGCCCCGGCTGGGCAGTCCTGCCCCACAGGCCTTACCTTTCCGGCATCCCGGACTGGCTCCCGTGTCCTTGCGGGCACCCGGTTGTACCCCGGCCGGGGATACGGTCGCAGTACTGTTGACGAGGTCTTCGCTGTAAAGTCCCCGGCCAGCCTGCGCGGTTTAGAACCTAACACTACACAGCATCGAGAAATAACGAGGGAGAAAAGTTTGGGCATCTTGAGAATTTGAGAAAAGGAAGTGGCCCGGGGCTGCTTGGAGAGTTTGCACTGCACTGTGTGCCAGGCACGGGTTTAGGTGTCTTCACACGTATCTCGCTTCAAGTGCCTTTGGAGAGTTTTACGCATTTTTTATAAGGACTAAGGCCAGAAGTTGCGTGTAGCTGAGTAATGATGGCACACACAGACTGGCTTCTCCCTGCGCTGGCTGGTGTATTTTGCACCACACTACGTTCAACGAGGGTTGGATATGCAAGACGTGACCGTTTTAGAGCAGTGACAACTCAATTCCATTTTTCCTCTCTTTGCACTGGGTGATAAACAGATAACATCCAAAAGCTCTCATGTCAGCTGCTACACTGGTAGATGCTCATTGGAGGAGAGATGGTGGTAGGATTTGCTCTATTTGTGAAGAAAGCTGTGTTCTTGGTGGCTGCCCAGTTAAGTGCTAGAAACTCTTGGAAAGTTTACGGTTCATGGCATGTTGTTCTAACTACCTTTTATGTAAATGTGATCACTGAGGACAAGTTTGACCCCACAGTAATCCAGCTCCCTTTTTTCCCTTCCTTTCAACAGTTTTTCTCGGAAATTCACTGTAACTAGGAAGTGGCAGTACCAGAATAGGAATCCAAGCCATCGAGACTCCAAAACCTTAAGCTACACACCCTCAGGCATGAACAAGTAAAATCGCTCAAACAGTACTGCCACTTCCTAGTTACTTAATTAACCCTAACCAGGTAAGCTATCCCCCCACCCCCCCCAATTCAGTGTCCTTATTTGTAAAGGGAATAATCGTGCCCACATTTCAGTTATTTCTAGGATTAAATAGGACTTAAAGAAAGCACTTAGTACTTTGGTTGGCATGTAAGTGCCACAGTAACTCTTAATTTTGCTAGGCAAAATGGGTGTTTAATAGCTGTTGAATGAAAGGAGCTTGGCTTTGGAGTAGACCCTGGGCTTAATGCTACCTGCTCATTAAGTAGTATATAACCATCAGTATGTCATTTCTGACCTGGTTTCCTTATTTGTAAAATGAATTTTTAGGATTAGAGATTGTTTATGAAGTAGCTGGTTTATATTAGACACTTAGTAAGTGGAGTTACTATAATATAAAGATGTAAAATCTTAGATTCTCATAGCTATTGAAAATTCCTTGGAATTAAGGATATTTTTCTTTAAAAAAATCTGCTGTTTTCATGTTAAATTTTATACTTGTAAACTTCAACTTTGCAAAAGAGCTTGGAAATTTTTTGCAGCCAACTTTGTAAGTATATATTTGCATCCTCTTACCAAGACGTGTAAGATAAAAATGTTAAAACTAAGCTATTGGGATGCTTGTGTCATTAAAAAATGTTAGCAACATGGGGCTGGTAAGATGGCTCAGTCAGTAAAGGTTCTTGGTCCAAGCTTGACAGCTTGTGTGAGATTCTGGAACCCATGTGGTAGAAGGAAAGAATGACTTCCTGCTTGTTATTCTCTGACATCCACGTGTGTGCAGGCATACACACAAATAGCTATGAAAAAAGCTGTGGCAGGAGACAAATGTTAGTATTAAGAGACAACTTTATTATATAAGTTTCCATAATACTAGATTATATATGAGATACCATATTTCAAACTTTTCAAAGTCTGCAAAATAAAGCATTATATTGAATATCAGTTTAATGAGCATTACTATCATATTACCCATCAGTTGGTGTCTGCAGTGAACAGTCTTGTTTTAGCTATGCATTGCTCCTCCCATCCTCATCTGTATCTCAGATATGTCAGGAACATTTTTACTCTTATAATCCTTTCAAATACAGGATTCATAGTTTTTTGGTTAAGTATTTTTATGGAAAAGAGGGTGAAGAATTGGAGTATTTATTTCTTCATAGCATACTATCTTTAGTGGGAAGGTTTTGTCTTTCTTTTGGGACATTGTCAAGCAACCCAGTACTTTTAAGAATTTATTTACATTAATTTACACAAAAGTATAACCTTAAATGACTTGTGGAAAGTTGATTTCAGAAATGAACATGTTGTTTTCAGAGGTCGTAATACTATTATGGGAAGGAAATTGACCATTTTGATTAGATTATTAGATTAACTATGAAAGTTTTATGTCCACCTGGCAGACAAGTTGAGTATCATTCCACTTCAGGAGCTTCTAAGCAAGAATGCATCCATTCTTGAGTTCTGTGAAGGCAGAGACAATGTTACTCCCTTTTTTGATAACTGTTAAAACCTTTAGTAGTAGTGATTTGTGCTTAGATACTAGGTATTTTCATATTGTTGGTGTTGGAATCACAAGAGTAGTCTTGTCTCCAGTAACAAAATATATAAATCAAAACCTAAAACTAAGGCAGGATATTAAGTCGTTAGATCACTTAAAAAAAATTGTTTTTTCCACTAATTAGTTATGTAAAGATTGTGTAGTGATCTGAGGAATAGACTATAATAGGTATAGAACAGGGAATGACACTGCATAAACGAATACATAAGAGTTAAAATATAAGCCTGAGAACATGCCCATTGTTATTGGGTGCTTTGTTTTTTACTCTGAGGTCTGTACCAGTACCTTTAAAACTAGTTATTTGGGGCTGGAGAGTGATGTCTCAGTGAGTAAAAAACACTTGCTGCTCTTGCAGAGGATCCAGGTTCCATTCCCAGCACTTACATGGTGGCTTACAACCAGCCATATAACTCTAGCTTTAAGGAATCTTACAGCCTCCTCTTCAACCGCTGTGCCCACCAGACATTCGGGTGGTGCACATACTATACATGCAGGCAAAATGTTCATATTCATAGAATAAATTTTAAAAATTAGTCATTTATATAATCTTAGGAAGGGATCTGATTTTGTTTGGTACAACAATGACTAGCATGTAATATATGTTTGGTAATCATTTAATTATAAATGTATTGATTCTGGAATATATATGATTTCAGTAAGTGAAAAAGAACATGCTACATGTTTGCTTTTGCTTTTGGTTTTTCTTTTTCTTTTTTTGGTTTTTCAAGGTAGTTTCTCTGTGTAGCTTTGTCTGTCCTGGAACTTGCTATATAGACCTGCTGGCCTCAAACTCAGCGATCTACCTGCCTTTGCTTCCGAAGTGCTAGGATTAAAGGGGTGCACCACCACCACCTGACTCTGTTACATGTTTTATGCATTGGTATATGCCATCTCTTTTTTTTTCCTTCAAGACAAGGTTTCTCTGTAGTCCTGCCTGTCCTGGAACTCACTTTTTAGACCAGGCTAGCCTCGAACTCTCAGAGATCCACCTGCCTTTCTCTCCTGAGTGCTGGGATTAAAGGTGTGCGCCACCAGTAACTGACAATATATTCCATCTATAAATAAAGCTTACATATCTTCTTAATATAGGTATTTTTCGTATTGAGATAACATTGAGAAATCCTTTATTAAAGCAACATTAAGCATGCTTAGTATTTAAAAGTGGCCTCTTGATTACATAGTGCAACAATTATCAGTGCCTATTGGGGCATTTTGTGAAGATTTCTTTTGATAGCCAAGGATGGTTATGTGTCTACCTTTGCACATCTTCACTAAGTTAGTTGAGAACATTGTGCTCTTTGGAGTCATGCCTCTGAGCTCAAGTTCTAGGTCTGTCATTTACTAACTTTAGAACATTGGTCAAAGTAGTGAATTTCTCCAAATCTCAAGTTCTTCATTTTCTGCAAGAAAATAACAATACCTTTACAGAGTTGTGAGAATTAAGAATTAGTATAGGGAAAAGTAACATCATTGTATGATTTATTCTCAAATGTTCCTTCTCATTGTTAACAGTAGATAGGTAATAAACCAGTATTACCAATTAGTTGTACACTTGTAGTTGTACACACTCCAAATGTACTTATTTAATATTTCTTATTCAGAGTGTTACGTTAGAAACACAGGAATGAAAGGTCAGTCAGTATCTTAAAGCGTCATGCTTTCTGGTACCTGGTTAACAACATGCTGGATACAGTATAGACTGGTCCTAAACTGCCTGAGCTAGACTACTACTTTCCTCTTGAAGTCATTTCCTCATTTAGCTGTCTTATAAGGACAGCGGTCAAGATGAAGTCACACTTAAAGAGTATTGCCTGGTCCATAAATGCCCCATAAATGGAAACTATGGCAGTTGTGTTAGTATTTTACAAATTGTTCAGTTTTCCTTTTAAAAAACCAAAGGCATCAAAGGAGAGCTTAATGTCAACTGTATCCAAATAATTTTTATTTAAAAAAAATAAACAAAGGGTAGCATTTCCTATAGTCACAGTACTCAGAAGGCTGAGGCAGGAGAATTATAAATGGATGATGTAGTGAGTCCTGGGCAAGCCAGTTTCACAAAATAAAATGTAAAGAAAATGCATTTTTTTCAAAGATTTTTTTATGTATTTATTATGAATACAACATCCTGCCTTCATGTATGTCTGCACCTCAAAACAGGGCACCAGCTCTCATTGTGGATGGTTCTGAGCCACCATGTGGTTGCTGGGAATTGAACTCAGGACCTCTGGAAGAGCAGCCAGTGCTCTTCACCTCTGAGCCATATCTCCAGCCCCCAAGAAAATGCATTTTAATAACTAACACAAGCTATAGAAAGTTGCCAACATCCTCCCTTTTTTGTTTTGTTTTGTTTTTCGAGACAGGGTTTCTCTGTGTAGCTTTGGAGCCTATCCTGGCACTTGCTCTGGAGACCAGACTGGCCTCGAACTCACAGAGACCCGCCTGCCTCTGCCTCATGAGTGCTGGGATTAAAGGCGTGCAAAACCAATGCCCTGAATGCCAAACTCTTTTTTTAAATGAGTGGACTGTGCTTTCACTGTGAACTAGAACATTTCTTGCTCACATCCTACCTCCTCTGCATTTTTTTGACCTTTGAGCTTTTAAAGCAAACAGAGGAATTATTTTTTCCTCTTTTAAAAACTAGGCAAAAATACTTTGTTTACTGTATCAGTCACATGCTTTATGTTGGAGAAGTGAGGTTGAGAAAACTCAAGAAAGTGAGGGTAAGTGTATGTAGCCCCTTACATATAGCTCTATTGTAAACCCATCATTTTGATTGAATAAAGAACTATGAGATTATTTAGAGTTTACCAGTTTCTTATTTTTGAATAAGTTTTCTGATTTTGTCTACAGAAATCAATAAATTTGGTGGTTTTTGTTGTTTTGTTTGTTTGTTTTGAGACAGTGTCTCATGTAGCTAAGGCTATTCTGAAGTTCATTATTTAGCAGAGGATGATCTTGAACCTCTTTTCTACCTGAGTGGGGGCTTATAGGTCTGTGCCACCGAGGCTTGTTTATGTGTGAAACTGGCTCTTGGTACATGCTAGTCAAACACTCTTTTGAGGTATGTCCCCAGCACTGTTTCCTGGTTTCTGCTTTTAGGGTTTTTTACTTGTAATTGTAAAAGAAACCTGTGTTGAAAAATTATTTCAGTGAAGTAGAAACAAAGCTTTGGTGTTTATCCTGAAATAGTGATTTATTTGAAAATCTACTATATTAATGTTTATTTCTTAAAAACATTCTCAAAACTCATCATTTCAGTTGATATTTAGAGGATGCTATGTGTGACAACCAGCATGTATACAAATTGTCCAGCGAATTAAGTTAATTTCATGATTGTTCCTAGAACACTTGAAGTTAGTTGACTTTGGAACTGTTAAAAAGCCATAATTCTTGGGTATTGTGTGCTGGGGCTTGAAGCCAGGGCCTTGTGTATGTTAAGCATGCATTCAATACAAGATCTGTAATTTTCTTAAATCAGTCTTATCTATTTATCCATCCATCCATCCTATCTATACCCGTCCGTCCGTCCGTCCATTGTCTCGCTATACTCACTCTGTAGACTAGACTGGCCTCAAACTCAAAGAGATCTGCCTGCCTCTGTCTCCTTAGTGCTGAATTTTAACATAATAAAATAGAAGGAAGCAAAGTATGTATATAAAATTTTAGTCAGAAGAGGGAAAGAAAATAGGAAAATCAAGGGGAAGAGTGCAAGAGAAACTTACTCAGAGGTGACCAAATGATTCCTTTGGAAAGGAATTTTAGGAATTAAAAACTAATTAGAGGAAAAGAAAAAAAATTGCTACAGGTTAAGAATTTAATAACCTTGAAAATTCTTTAATTTGGGGTTCCCCCTTGTAATTAGTAGCTGGTTCAGATATCTGGTAAATAGTTTAGATCAAAGTTTAACCTTGAGGCCAAGGGTTTTGTTTTATTTCTTTGTGTAACAGTTTGGCTGTCCTGGAACTCACTCTATAGACCATGTTGACTTCAAACTCAGAAATCTGCCTGTCTGATTCCTGAGTGCTGGGACTAAAGGCGTGAGCCATAATTCTGGTTAAGGCCAAGTTCATTTTAAAGTTTGAATCCTAGTAGCTTCTGGAAAGGAGGTAACAGTTAGTGTTTAGAATACCAGCTAATCTAACTAGAAAAACTCCCCTTGAAAGAACTGGTTAAGGGAGTTTTCTGTGATGTGGAGGACTGATTAAAATGTGTCACAACATGCTGGGTGGATTGGGAGCAAGGCATGGACTTGTGTTGAATGCTGTCTTTATAGCACAGTGAGACAGACGACCATGTATTATGTGAGGTGCTCTCTAATTTCCTGCTCTAAGGGTTTCTTTTCCTTGATTATTCACCTATTGCAATGTTCTCCCTGTAGGTTATTGGATTATGTTGAAGTTTTATTTGACATATAGCATGAAGTTATCACAAAATATTCATTAAAACAATAAAAAGCAAGCATTTTTAACAATGTCTTGATGTGTATGATTTTTGTCTTTCCTTAGCTGGAAGCTGGTTTAAATAAATGCATTGGATGTTACTATTGATATTAGAATGTTTCTCTAGAACCTAGCACAGTGTTAGATACATAATGGCACCCAATGTGAATTATTTGGGAAGATTTTTGTTCTTGAGACATAGGTTTCTTTATTGTCCAGGTTGACCTCAAAAGCTTGGATTCAAATAATCCTTCACTCTCCTGAGTATCAGCTGGGACTAACGTGCATGCCATTGTGCTTGTGAGGTTAAAAGTTATTATAAGTAGTAAAGAAATTAAAGTTTTTTTTAGGTTGTCTACCTGAGGACTAAGGAGTAGGCTGTGATCTTTGGAAGTGTCTGTCTGTCTGTCTGTCTGTCTGTCTATCTATCTATCTATCTATCTATCTATCTATCTATCTATATAAGCTTTTGCATTTCACAAGCATGAGTGTAGCTTTATAGGATTATTTCTCAACTCCTAGAATGCAATACACTTCATGTGTTTTTAATAATTAAATACCATATTGAGTTGAGCTATATGAAATTGCAATAATAATTGTTCCCTTTTTAAAAGTCTGTAAGAACAACAATTTCAAGTGATTCAATCTAATTTTGACATCAATTTGATTTTGATTACATTCTTGTTCTTTAGACTTTAGGTTCTTTGCTAAGTATTGATTTGAAGTAGAGGACAGAAGTTATTTTGTATTTGTTAGTGCTTAATTTTGATATCATAGCTTATTTGATCAGTTAACAAGGAAAAGGACCTTAAATGGAGAAGGAACTGTTGAATGATGTTTCACTTAAATTTACAAAGATTCTCTTAAATTTTCTAGAATATTTGTTTTGGGGTATTTTCTAAAGTAAACTTGGGAGTGTTTTGGAGCATATTTTTTCATAGTTTTGTAGATAACATGAGAATATTCAGTAACATTTATTCAAAAAAATTTGTAATCAGTTTGGGAATTTTACTGACTTAGATCAAAGTTTTGTTTGTGTAGTCAATATGCTTTTTAATATGTGTGGTATATTTAAAAAATGTGTATGTTTGAAATATATCTTGCCTTTTGAAGGGGTAGTAGTAGTGGGTTTAGATAACTTGTGTGTACTTTTTTTCTGAATTAACATAGTTTTCTTTGTTTTTAGTGCCACCATGGCAACTGCACCATACAACTACTCGTACATCTTTAAGTATATTATTATTGGTAAGTTTATTAAGCTTGTATTCTTGTCCTCCAAAGAAAGTTAACACATGAAACATTTATACAGCAGTACTTAAACATACTGCTGCAGAAGTGCCATGATTTTCTGACTTAAGAAATAAAGCTTTTTGATGAAGATAACATGCCTTTTGTATCATGGCCCTGGGTACTTCTCTACTCTCTTTTGGGGCACTAGTGAAACGATTGTGATTGTTTTTCAGGGCCACTTCCAAAAGTTAGTGTTGGGGATGAAATTATTTCCTGTTAGCGCTGAAATATCCCAATATCATAAAAGTTTTCCAGTCCCCTTGAATTCCAGCATTGGTAGAGAACAGTTTGATTCAGAATCAGTTGTGTAATATGTATTATTTAAGAATATTTTTGTTTCCTCAAGACTTTGCTCAAATTGTCTTAATGCTGTTTATCTGTGAATGTTTATAAAATGACAGGTGAAAGCCCAGGTGTTGGTTGGATTGTGTGCTGGGGGTAGAACTCCTCCAAGCCTGCCCAGGCTGTGGGTTTGGTTTGATCTCCAGCGTGGAAAACAAAACAAACCATAAATAAATAAAAAGCTTTGATGTCAAGTTCGTGTGGTTTTGTGAAATGGCATCTGCTGTAACTTAGAGGTAAAACAGGAGATAGTGAGTCAAGCTTCCAACATTTAATTTGTTAATTATTTCTAGTTGCCCTTGGGAGATAGTTCATTTGCGTAGACCAACAGGTGTACTTGGGCTACCCACCTGGAAGCAGTTCAAATTTTAAAAGTTCCATAACGGTAATTCTTCTGTCACAAGCCATGGACATGTTGGATCTTTACTAACAGTAATTTACAACAAAATTCGATCCTTATAAACATTCTTTTGAATTCATTATAAAAGAAGGAGATGCAGATGCTCCAAGTGTTCAGAAACCTGTTATGTGTTTTATATCCCCAGTGCAATAGTTACTGCAATATGATTTTAAGAGTAAAAAAGAGAAATAGAAGAATTGCCACCTGAAACGTTTTTCTTGTTTTAAACAGGGGATATGGGAGTAGGAAAATCTTGCTTGCTTCATCAATTTACAGAAAAAAAATGTAAGTTCAATATAAAAGGTAAAAAAGATGAGTAGCTTACTTTATTGTCACATTCACATTTTGCATTATTTTCAGTGTAATTTATGCATTTGATCATAACCTGTCTCCATATTTACACTTTTTTCCCAAGTTTGATTTTAAAGATTTACGAGAGAGAGAGAGAGAGAGAGAGAGAGAGAGAGAGAGAGAGAGAGAGTGTGTGTGTGTGTGTGTGTGTGTGTGTGTATGTGTGAACTTTTAACTGCTAAGCCATCTCTGTGGCCCCAAGTGCCATAAATTTTTTAATAGGTACAGATAAAATGCAGTATTATCACCAGCATGTTTAAATGTTGTTCTTTTAATTCATGATGTATAACTAGGTTTACTTTGATTTTTGTTAGTTAGTTTGTTTGTTTATTAAGAGGTTCTCACTGTTTTACTCTGCTCTGGCTGACTTGAAATAGACTGTGTAGAACAGGCTGTCCTCAAACTCAAAGAGATCTACCTGCCTCTGCCTCCTGAGTGTTGGGATTAAAGATGTGCACCATCATGGCAAGCTGTTTTGATTTCTTGGTAGTACAAACATAGAATTAATTTTTAAAAATGTGTAAAATGTTAAATGTAAAAAACCTCATTTTTACTCTTTTACTTTAAATGTACCCTTTAAACATTTATGTGGGTGTATGCACATGTATGCATGTGTACATGTTGGTATGTATGTATGTGTATGCCATTTGTGGGCTGATACTCACAGAGACCAGAAGAGGGTGTTGGATCCCCTGGAGCTGTAAGTTATAGGCAGTTGTGAGTTTAGCGTAGGTGGTACAGGGAACTAGACTCTGGTTCTCTGAAAGGACAGCAAATGTTTTTAACCACTGTGACATCTCTTCAGCTCTCCAGCCCCCAAATTTTTTATTATTATTATTATTATTATTATTATTATTATTATATATTTTTTTGTTTTTCGAGACAGGATTTCTCTGTGTAGCCTTGGCTGTCCTGGAACTCGCTCTGTAGACCAGGCTGGCCTTGAAATCACAGAAATCCACCTGCCTCTGCTTCCTGAGTGTTGGGATTAATGATATGTGCCACCGCCACCCAGCTAAAATGTATTATTTTAAGAAACTTTTTTTTTGCACTGCATGTATCATTTATTTATGAAAATTAGTAGCTTTTTGGCGGGGTTTCTCTGTGACTTTGAAGGCTGTCCTGGAACTAGCTCTTGTAGACCTGGCTTGTATTGAATCACAGAGATCTGCCTGCCTCTGCCTCCCGAGTGCTAGGATTAAAGGCCACCACCGACCGGCTTAAAATTAGTGGTTTTAGAATACTAAATAGAATTCATCCTGGTTTTATGACTGGCTAAGATTTAGAGTACAACTTTTATCTTGTGGCAGAGAAAGAGGCCGTATAATATAATTTATAAGCTAAAAATAATTGAGATTTTGGCATTTTTGTGATGCTTGCCACAAAGGTTTTCTGAAATTTGGATCTTTTCTCCAACAGTTATGGCTGACTGTCCTCACACAATTGGTGTTGAATTTGGTACAAGAATAATTGAAGTTAGTGGCCAAAAAATCAAACTGCAGATTTGGGATACAGCAGGACAGGAGCGGTTCCGAGCTGTTACACGGAGCTACTACAGAGGGGCTGCGGGTGCACTCATGGTGTATGACATCACCAGGTAAGATGATGTCATACTTGGGAGTAGACCTCTACTTTGGGCAGTGTGGTTTCTTTTTTACTGAGGTAGGCTTTCTTTAGTTTGTAATTGGATGACTGTAAATAATTCACTTAGGTTTTGTGGTTTCTACTCTAAAATTGTGACAAACTTAAATAACATGCTGGTTTTCTTCACCTGAAGTTGGCTAATGAAAGACTGTGGAGACAATGGGGAACTGAGAGAACACAGTCTGTGAAGCAGCACCAGTTGTTTGCAGAGAAGTGGCTTTATATGAAACTCTGATTTCAGGGAAGGCGAGTCAGTTTTGAGGAATCGCTGTATGCAGTCTTTTGTGTTAAAATTGACACCGTCTGCAAATAGGCCAAGTGAGGAGTGAAACACTTGGTTTTGTTATGGCAGCATGGTAGAATGAAACAGATCCTGTGTTTTCATCTATAGGCCAAAAGGAGGTTCTTTTTTGATATATATGACTTTTTTGACATTTAGGTGGTAGTTTATATGTAATATTTACTCATTTTCTTAATTCATTTTTCTACTATGGTATTGAAGTGACTTAAAACACTGCATCAGGATTCAATTCCTGACAACATGGCTGTTTCTGGAAACTCAGAGTATTTGACATGAAGTCACAAAACAGTAATGTAAAGGTTTGACTTTGGAGCACATAGCAAACTGCTCCTTACTAGACCAGAACAGTTGTCTGCTGTATGTTAGATGAACTGGATGGGTTTTTTGTTTTGTTTTGTTTTTTAATCTCTCTCCCCCCAGACAGGGTTTCTCTGTCCTGGAACTATCTCTTGTAGACCAGGCTGGTCTCGAACTCACAGACATCCGCCTGCCTCTGCCTCCCGAGTGCGTGTGCCACCAATGTCCAGCTGAACTGGTCACCTTTTATGATGATGCACAGTCGAAAACAACCCTAAGAAGAGTCCCTCCTAAGAAACAAGTGAGTGGGACCAAGTGACAGCTGGAGATTGTTCTACCCGGGAAACAGTTTATGCCATTTCATCTTGAAGAGTAAGAGAGTACCTGGGCATATGAAGATTCTTAAGATGTTTACTGTAAAGGAATCCCTTGACTTTGACACACTCTTGAAAATGCTGCCTTAGAATATTGATAGGATTGAATATAATTATAGTACAGAAAGCCTCGGTAAATTATTAGCAAACAGTAAAACAAGCCTTTATTCTCTACACTGTACTGGACAGTTGGTAACATGATTAGTGAATGGTCTTGTGGGGAGACTGTAAGAACTTGGCTGTTGTACAGAATTGCCTCAATGTGAATTATTACTGCATTCCTGAAGACTGACTTAGTTAAAAATCCCATACATTCTCAATACATTTATGATGATGTGTACTTAAAATACAGTTTGTTTTTTTAACATATTTTTTAAGTATAGTTGTACTATGATAAAATTTGTGTGTATTCAAGTGATCAAAGGCACTTCAGATGGAAACAGCAGAAATGTCCATCAACTAAAGGAATGACACACATCAGGTGGCATGTCCACACAATGAACTGCTTTTTGAGCTGTAAAAAGGGTGACTGATACATGCTATATGTACGTGTAAAAGGCCACGTTCGATTTTGTGTTTATCTAGACTGTGTTTAGCTATATGTACGTGTAAAAGGCCACGTTCGATTTTGTGTTTATCTAGACTAGGCAAACTCGTTGAGGCAGGAAGAAGATTGCAAGGGCATAATCAGCTATTGTGCACAAGATTTCTCCTTTGGGGTCCTGTGAATGTTCTAGAATTTGATAGTGGTGATACTAAAAGTAAATTGTATTTTTAAAGGGTTTATGATGATTCATTGTATCTCAGTATAATTTACTAAAAAAGTAAATTTTCAGGTGTTAGAGTCATGACACTATTTTCCATCAATTTTTTTCTGCTAATCTTTGACATTTTGTAACTTACAAGTTTCTGCTTGAATTACACTTTTTATCTTTGGCATTAATTGTAATTGTTATAAGGCACTTTCCTAAATTACAGTGAAGCTTATCCTGTCAGTTGTTTTGCCAAACAGTCAGGATGCAGTTAGTACCTAGGTAAATATATTTTGAAGTCAAGAAGTTAGAGCACTGAGCTATCCTCACCCAGAGCTGGTCTGTGTTTGGATTTATTTGCTGTGTTAAGGCCAACTGAACTAGTGCAGATGACATGATGCTTTTTGTTTTGGTTTTTTTGAGACAGGGTTTCTCTGTGTTCTGGCTGTTTTGGAACTCACTCTGTAGACCAGGGTGGCCTCAAACTCACAGAGATCTGCCTGCCTCTGCCTCCCAAGTGCTGGGATTAAAGGCGTGTGCCACCAGTGACCAGCTGGCAGTATGCTTTCTAAACTTGCTCAGATGAAGTAGAAGAATGCTGCAGTCTGAATTTTCAGATGATTTAACTGCTGTAAATAAGAGAAGTATAAACTAACTTCTGTTGGCTGAGGTTTTGAATTTCTAGATGAGTATATTAAATGCCTTTTTTAAAGGCAGGTTTTGTTTTGTTTTGTTTTTTAATCTGTGTATTAGCTCACTCCAGATTAGTAATCTGAGCATGGTCCCACATGTCTGTAATTCTAGCATTTAGGAGGTAGAGGCAGGAGGAACACAATTTGGAAGCCAGTCTGGGGAACACTTATATGAAAAAAGAAAGACAAGAATTTAGGAAAGATAAATTATGTACTGATTTAGTGTGACTGTCTTTTATTTCTGACTTTTAAATACTTCTGGTATTTTTAGTATAGTTGGACATTGAGCTGTTTAAAAATAATGAATTTGTGGGCAGGTATGCTGGCACACACCGGTAATCCAGGACGTGGGGAGATTGAGAGAAAGTTGGCTGTATGGGTGGGGCAAGATAGTTTGGTCTGCACAGTGAGACCTTGTTTCAAAAAGCAAAACAAAGTTTGACTAGATTTTTTTTGAAAATTATTTTGGTTCTATTTTACAGTCATTCTTTAGAGTAACCATCTGGTCAAAGTAGAAGTACATGTAGTTGAGATCTTCCAAGTAAAGTCTACATATGTATGTATATATTTATATGAGTTTGTTAGCTTGTGTATTTTTTGAGACAAGGTTGCACTGTAGTAGGAGCTGACCTGGAATTTATTTATGGCCATGGTGGCCTCAAACTCAAGTCACTTCTGCCTTGCTCCTGCCTTTTAATTGCTGGGATTACATGTATGCAACACATCACATCTGGCTGTCTTTTTTTCTGTATAAATGGCAACACATTTTAATTTTAATTTTTGCAGAAGAAGTACATATAACCACTTAAGCAGCTGGTTGACAGATGCAAGGAATCTCACCAATCCAAACACTGTAAGTCAACACCTCATTGTATAAGAAATTTAAAATCAGCTAACCCAACAGGCAAGACCTTTACTGTTGATTGTCATTTGGGTACTATGAATAAGAGTCCCTCCTTCCTTTCTGGAGAAACCAGCTTTGCAGGCATCAGGGGGTGTCAGAGGATCCCTGGAGGGTGTCGCAGGAACAGTGAAAGATCAGGTCTCTGTCTCACTTAGCTCTCTGTACCTTCTGCATTTGGCAGAGGCCTGGGCCAGTAAATGTGTAGATGAGTGGTAAGAGGCCTGGTTTTCTAGTGTGGAGCCTAGAGCTTTCATTTCCACTCATGCTAAACTTATTGTTGCTGTACATGCAGAGCTATGGATAAATGTGCAATATTTTTTTTTTTTTTTTTTTTTTTTTTTTTTTTTTTTTTTTTTTGTGATACCTAAAACCAAAAGCAGTCCAGCTGCCCACAGACAGGTGAATAGCAAAATAGTTGTGGTGCATCCACACTGTAGAGTACTGCTTAGCTACACAGAGGAAGGATTTGTGATAACGCATCAACTGTAAGAATCTTATGAGGATTTGGCTGAGTTAAAAAAAGTTTACATATTCTATGATTCCATTGACATAATTCAAAGTGACAGCATTGTAGATAGATGGAGAACAAATTAGTGGTTGCTAGGGCTTGGTGGAGTAGGTGGGCAGGTGGTATAACTAAAGAAATAGCACAGAGCGGTTTCTTTGTGATAATGTGATAGTTCTGTGTCCCAATTATGAAAATGTTGTAACTGTGATAACACTGCACAGGACCATGAATGAACATAGCCACATATACAAGACTCTGAAAAATACTGACATCTAAGGGCTATAATTGCACCAATGTCAGTTTTCTGGTTTTGTGAGTATACTGTGGCTCTGTAAGTTGCAACCACTGAAGAATACTGGTAATGGTACATCATACCTCGTGATTACATCTTGCCAAGTCTAGTTTCCCCCACCCCCAAGTAAAATGTTAAAAATTATTTCAAAATTCACTGTAGAGGGTCCATGGAAATGTGAGGCACCGTTGCTTCAATTTATACCATTTTTAAATCTAAGCATATCTTCACAAGAAAAGAAGAAAAATGTGTCTTAAAGCCCAGTTCAATATACTATGTTGTCTTTGAAATTGCCTTTGGTTTTTATGTAAAGATTAATGTATTTCTCATTGTGGTTGTTAGTGTTTTGTGCTCTTTGTTGTTAGCAGACTATAGCCTCTCAGGTGGGCAGTGAAGTCTGGAGGTTGATGTGTAGTTGGAAAAAGAAAATAAAACAAAACAGAGAAGTCTGGAGGTTAATGTGTAGTTGGAAAAAGAGAGGAAAAAAACAAAACAAAACAGATCATTTCTTCTTAAGGAGGGTGGTGATGGGGTGGAGTGCTGGGAATTAAAGCCAGAGCTCTGTGCCAGCTAGGTCAATGCTCTGCTTATACTCCCAGGCTGGAAGGTAGCATTTCTTGAATACCTGTCTTACAATGGCCCTATACTAGGCTTGTTTTGTTTTTTTTTTTTTCTTTATGTCATTATTTCATCATTCAGTGACTATGACCTGTATATGAGGATTATTTTCCCTTGGCAGTAGTCACTGACTCTGTGAAGAATATTCTTTGTTGTACAAGTGAATTTGAATGTAAATGATACTCAGGAAAGACTAATTCACTGGACCCAGACATTTGAAAGTGGAAGAAAGAGCCAATCACTAATTTTGTGTAGAAAAAATGTTGGGAAGCACCTTTTTGTTGAAATCATTGATTTCTAACATATCTGTATCTGGTTGGAAGGGGCACAGAAGTAAAAGAGGGGTTTACATCTTCCCTTTTTATGCCCTAAATAAGAACCAAAAGCCCTTTTTTTTCTAAGGCTACCTTTATTTTCTTTAACTTAGACATAATTTTACTTGCATAGGTGACTTCAAAGTAGACAATAGGGGTGTGATATTTGACTCAGGGTTTGATGAACCTGTTGCATATGTACCCCATCTCCGTCTTCGTCCATAGACAGATACAAACATTGGTGATCAGTGGCTAGAAGTTTGCATTCTCTTAGGGTTCTGATGCCTTTTTTTCTAACTCTCCTTGCCTTATTTGCATTTAAGGGATTATTGTGACCCTGAAGGAATTGAACTAGTGGTTTTTAAGCTTCCTCAAGGTCCCAGAATCTTTTGAGAATCTGAAAGCCACAAACTTCTCCAGGGAATGTTCATGTTTTATAGTACTTTTGTACTTAATTCTAGGACATTTTCTTTCTCACTCTCTCTCTTTTTTTTTTCCAAGCCAGTGTTTCTCTGTATTGCTTTGGAGCCTGTCCTGGAACTCTCTCTGGAGACCAGGCTGGCCTCAAACTCACAGAGATCCTCCTGCCTCTGCCTCCCGAGTGCTGGGATTAAAGGCGTGAGCCACCAATACCCGGCTGTATTTGAGAATTTTAATGGTTATTTTTGTTCTAAGATATCTTTTGTTTTGTTTACAAATTAGGTAATAATTCTCATAGGAAATAAAGCAGATTTGGAAGCACAGAGAGATGTTACCTATGAAGAAGCCAAACAGTTTGCTGAAGAAAACGGTGGGTTTAAGACAACATTCATCCTTGGGAAAGTGTTAAAGGAAAGGTGATTTTAATCATGCAGGTTATTTGATGGTATTTTTTTTTTTTTTAATGTGGACTGTTTAGAACTCTCAATGAGGAAATCAGGTGTGTGTTTCTGTGGTATGTGTTAGTAGTAGTGCAGCTACTGAATGACAAGTGCAGATCTGCCCCTGCCCCTCAGAGGCGTGCTCCTTCCCAAGTACTGTAGCCAGAGTACTGACAGTTGCAGAGTTGTGTCAGATATTGGCTGAAGAGTGCTCTTGGCAGTCTGTAATGTCCTAATTATAGTCTGAATTTTATTTTTAGGCTTATTGTTCCTTGAAGCAAGTGCAAAAACGTAAGTATGGCTGAAATGTAGATCGTATTTTCAGTTACATGCAGGTTCTCAGAGTAGAACCATGGCTGTGTAAGTGGATGACTTCTGTAGACATGCATGTGGATTGTATCATGTAGTGAGAGTTTGTGCAGTGCCATGGCAGGAAAAACAGTAAGCAGATGGTTCTGTTTCACACCACAAGAGAATGTGAAGTTCTGTTCATTAAAGGGTTATACTTTATTGTGCCCATTGGTAAGCCAGGTTAGTAAATGAAACTGCTTACATTTCACAAGTGTTTGACTTTCACAATCGAGGTTGGGCAACATGTTCACAGAGCACTTGTGATTACCTTAAGGAATGATTTAAGGACATACTCAGTGGCTCCTGAGGTACAGTGAACATTTCTGATGTCCTTGGAGTCCCAGCATTGACCCTAGCACTCCCAGTCATAGTTCTTCCTGTATCACACCAGGCAAAGGCAGATCAACCTCAACCTGTTTGTATTTATTTACCTCTGCTGTTAGTCCCAAGAGAACTGAAGTGTGAACATGGCTAAGCACAACTATGTCACCACCACATGATAAAAATAGCATTGTTTTCACATGGCTGTTTATAAAATAATGGAAAGGCTAGGATCCTGTCAGTGTTTTGGAGAAGTGGCTGTCTCAATTGTCAGGTCATATGCTAGTATAGCACTGCAGTGAGTAGAAGATTCAGTATGCAGACTGAGCTTAGCAACAGCTCAGGACTGTGTTGTGTGCTCACCACCAAAGCCATTTCCTACATTGTTCTCTTAGCTCAGTTTTTGGTAATCTCTTATTAGATGACAGTGGCTATAAGTGGAAGACATCATGGCGGTTCACTAAAGGTTAGCAGAAGGTCAGTGTAAATGCCCTACGTTTTTTAGAAAGCTTTGAGTTGTGAATAAAGTTGTTGATTGTTTCTTAGGGGAGAGAATGTAGAAGATGCTTTTCTTGAGGCTGCCAAGAAAATCTATCAGAACATTCAGGACGGAAGCCTGGATCTGAATGCTGCCGAGTCTGGTGTACAACACAAACCCTCAGCCCCGCAGGGAGGACGGCTAACCAGTGAACCCCAACCCCAGAGAGAAGGCTGTGGCTGCTAGTGACCTCTTTGCTCTTGCCCTCATTTGACCTTTCACATCTGTCTGTTGGGAGCAGTACTTTTTACTGCTTCCTTGTCTTCTGTACATCTTATTGGGTTTAATTAAAAAAAGAAAAACAACTCTTGTAAAAACAGTTTAACAATACTAAACTGCTAAACAACTAGATGTAATCAGGTTATCAAAGGCAAGTAGAGTAATAAATCTCTCCTGCATGGTAAATCTAGACTTTCCCCCTTTGATTGTCCTCGTGATAGGTTTGTCACCAATATATGATTTAAAATGAGCACTGATGCGGGACTCGATTTTTACCTTCCCTTTTGGCAAGGCTTCGTCTCACTGTACGGTTTAAATTCGATCTCTTCAGCCTTTCTCCCATCTTTAAACTGTTCATGTATGTCTGTTGTAGCAAGAAAGTTCATTGCTGTGAAATGACTTCCGATGGTAGAGAAAAGGGGGTCTGCAACTGCTTTTGTTTTTGTTGGATAAATTCCCTCTTGTAGGGGTGGCATTTTTCTTGATGAGGTTTGCTTCTGTCTTAGCCTTGCACAGGGAAAAATACCCATTTATCTTTTCTTGTGCTTAATTAATAGCTTTATCTTTTTTTTACACCATTTTATTCTTTTCTCTTTAACAGAAAGTAAATATGTATAAAATTTGAAGGAACCTAACTAACAATACCTTCTGTGTATATTATTTTAATGAAGAAAATAAATTGATTACTGGCATTGGAACAGTATAAAATACCAGTTTGTACAGTGTGACCTATATGAGACCATGTTACTCTCTTCCATTTCACACAAGGAAATAGACACAACTGCAGTTTCACAAGTAATACTGGCTCCACTCCTTGGTGCTGGCAGTGACTGGGGACAGGCATAATGCTGGAAAGAGCTCCTGGCATCAGCGGAAACACTAGTGGATTCTAGTCCATCTTTGCACTGTGGCTTACCTGCTGATTTTCTTAACTGTTCTTGTGTAATCAACAATGTGCTAACCTGCTATTCTTTTTGTAAACATTTTGTGTTACAGGCTGCATTCTTGCCTTACTGTATAGAAAAATGGAAGAAGGCTGGGTTTAATATTGCACATTTTAAGCTTTTATACCTTTATCTTGGAATGGTCAACCTCTGGACCAGATAGCCAGAACCACAGGTCTGCTGTTAAGGGATTTTAAATTGTGCATTTTTAACACTACAGTGAAGTAATTTAATACTATCCTTTGTGTTCATAGGATTGAGGGGCTATTTTATGTCATGTTGGTCTAAATTGTTTAGTAAAAGGGAAGAATGTTTCTAAGTGTGTATGCTGACATGAAGTAAGTCACTACTTTGCACTGGGTGGTCTGGCACAGGAAGAACACCCTGCAAAGGAAACAAGCCTTTAGAAGGAAGGCGTCTGCTTCAGTCCGCTCTCCACTCATGGTTGTTGGTTTCTAGCTGAGTTGAAAGTGGCTGGGAATCAAGAGGTCACTGGAAGTGCGTGCAAGGAAGCCCAAGCACATTATAGAAAATGCTCCCAGCTAAGTGCTGTGTTTCAAATTCACATTTTAAATCCCTCTTTACCAGACACTAATGTAAAAATACATCTTTCTGGATTATAAACATGTAGTAGGTCCAGAGTTTTGTATAGTTGATGTTAAATAAAAGCCAAAACTGGAATGTGCAGAAAATAGGATTCGGTTTATTTGTGAATTCACCTTTTGTCTTTGTTTAATTTAAAGGATTCCTGGAGTAGATTGATATCTTCTGTTAAAGACTTACATCGATCCATTTGCTTACACTGTTGCATCACAAGGGATTCACCCAGGGACCATGACCTGCTGGTGTGTGTATATATTTACAAAAAAAGAAAAGCAAAAAAAACCAAAAAAACAAAAAACAAAAACCACCCAAATCACCCATCGGGATATAAGGTAGCAATCACAAACTACAGATGACTTCAGCTTGTTGAGGTGCAATGCCCTGACTCTCAGTTAGTTACAGTGGGTCTTGATTGTTTTTGTGACAGAAGGATTTATTCAGACTGCTGTACTCTTCATTTGATGTAACAAAATGCTATTATCTAAATATTTGTAAATAAAGTACCTGTATCTAGATTAAACTGAATGTAGCTGGATTATTTTTGAACTGTAAAGACTTTCTTCAGATGAATATTTGCTACACACTGTCAAGTTTTTATTACAGCATTGTGTGTATGGTGAGGTCTGTGTAGCCCATTAAACTACTAATTGAGTTGGCCTTCCATCCCTGTACATTTCGTCTTTGAGGCCAGCACACTGGTGGCTAATAGTGTTCTCCCTTTACTGTACTTGGGGCCAAATTCTATTTGCATGTGTAACCACCATCTAATAAACCTGGGAGCTTAAGGTAGAGGAGCAGATTGCCATATTGCAACATCTGTGTGCCAGATATTGGGTAGAGTGTATTTGTTAATTTTTAATCCACAAGAGCTTTGTGCAGGTGCCTGCTTCTCTGCTGGTGTCACTGCTTTCACTATGGAATGACTAGTGGAGCTGCTCTGGGTAACTAGTGCTCATCTGCATCAGTACTACAGCAGTGTCCAGCTGCTTTTCTGAAGTAATAAAGTGTTGGATGCAGTAACTGGTGGAGGAAGTTGGTCACACTACTAGTAAAAGGGTATACGAGGTTTCTTTAGAAATATGTCCTTTTGAAACTGGCAAGTTTTTGGTGTGTGTGGTAGATCAAACCCAGGATTTTGCACATACAAAGCAAGCATTATGCCACTGACTTATTCCCCAGCTGGAAAGGTATTTTTTGAAATCAGGTGTTTTGTTTCATACATTGGTTACCTCATTTTCTCTACTCAATAAGCTTAGTTTTCAGACTTTTTCCCCTTGCACATGTTTTAAATGTGGCCTTAAATAGATGGTTTAAATTCTTTCACCATAAACAAAAACCCCAAATCTGGGAGTAGAATGGTAGAGTGAAGGATTCATGGGGCAGTTTGAGAGGGTACTTCACCTCCCCCCCTTCAAACCCAGAAGATTGTTCCCAAACTGTGTCAATAATTGCCATTAGCATATGACTTTAAGCATTTTGCAAAGATGTAAAGTGGAAAGCAAGGAGAGCAGGAATACAAAAAACGAGTTTTGTGTTGAAAATACTTGCCTTCTAGAACATACTGTGCAGTTAAGTGGTGTGACTTCCATTGTCTCTGTTGTATTTTATTTACCCTGTATCTTAATGGTTCAACAGACAGTTTTGTAAGAATATATAACCCTCATGGTGAGGGGCTGTTGGACAGTGCTGCATTGACATGCAATGCTGACTGTGGCTCAAAGGCTGTCTAGTCACCAACATCATTAGGACTGTTAGAGCCACACAGCTGTGACAAAGTTGCTCATTTCTAAAGAAATGTAAGTCACAGAGTTGAGCTGTTGGAGCACTTAAAGGTTGACTAATAAATACTTATCACCTGAGCTGAGTCTTCAGAATATAGTTTTCCAACAGAGAATTACTATTTTCATAGGCTAAAGGAAAGCAGCTTAAGTGCCTGGTTTCCTGATAGAGACTTCTGAAGAAGGAAGCGCTCATTGCTAAGACCCAGTAAAACTTAGCTGGAAGATTGTCACTGTCTTGGAATTAAGGAGTAACCTGGTGATTTGCCAAAGAATGTCCTGTGAAATGTAAAATTAGATGACAGATCCAAGTTGACTGTACCTTTTATTTTCATATTAAAAATAGATTTTTGATCAGAATCTAAAAATAACTTATCAAGCCTTGGGACTTTTTAGTACATTCTTTTTCATGGTAACTAGACATACCAGTTATGGACTCAGTGTATGTGTTTAAAAATTCACTGGGGGACACAAATAAAAATAGCCCCCTTACATTCTGGTTTACACTATACACATGTAGTCCCACAGGTACACATAATTTATGAAAGCGTAAGTGTAAACGGTACAAACACTACAATGTTTTCAGTCTTCCACTCACAGGATCTTGGTAATAGACTGACATCCCATTAGGAAGTCAGTGAGGTAGAGTAGGTATTTCCTCTTAAGTTCACACAAGACCATATTCCTGACTTCAGCTGAAGTTTCTTTTCCTACAATTAGACAGAAGCAGAATGGACAAATTAAACCTCTTTGACAGGACAAGGCCTTACAAAATGAGGTGGTATGGAGACTGGCAAAGTTACTTGCTTAAGGACCTCTGTGGAATCTGTAGTGCTGGGATTGAATCTGGGGATGTACATGTTCTAGGCAAGTGCTTTACCTTTACCATCACCATTACCCCAAACCTCCAGCCCCCAAAATGCTTGAAGATGAACTGCCACAAAATGATGACTTATGCTGCCACACTTCCAGATCTACCAATGAAACGCAGGGTTGCTAACATACCCTGCAGGCAGGAAACTCAGCGGTGGTAACTGTGTGGCTCTGATGGGTGACCTTGCAGAACTCGGAAGGAGCTCTAAGAAGGAAAAAAATTTAAGCACAGAAGCCAGCCCCCCAGCCTAATTCAAGGCTTCATCTCAGTGGCCCAGATGACAACCCTAGACTTAGAAACAGTGCCTACAACTCACCTGCACCTCTATAATGTATTTTTCTATACCCACTGCCTCATGTATGACAACCCTAGACTTAGAAACAGTGCCTACAACTCACCTGCACCTCTAAAATGTATTTTTCTATACCCACTGCCTCATGTTCTTACTAAGCTCTTACTAAGTCTAATAAGTTCTGGAGGACCTTAGCTGACTTGTTTCTACCACAGGTATTAAGGTAACCATATTAAAATCTCAGCTGTGCTGCTCATTAGCTTTGTGACTCAGGTAAGTCATTTGTCTCCCCTTATGCCAACTAAAGTAGCTACCGTCCCTGGACATTCCTTGTGCTTTAAAATACGCTTGGGACACACTACTTTCTGGTATTAAAGGTAGGTTGGCCTGTATATGCTGATTTGTCCTTTGCTATATCCTTGACCTGTCATTTACCACTTTATTTAGTTCCTTACCTACATAAAGGGACAATTTGTACCTTCCAGGATGTAACAATTATATGGGATGTTGAATGTATAATGTTTAGCATGTATATGGAATATGTGCCTGGAAATGGAAGCCATTTTCTGCTCAACAATAATGTGTTACTATTGGCCAGTTCCATGAGTTACTTTATGTTCCTGTTAAATGGTTATTAACTAGGCCCCACATAGAAACCCTTGTGAGATCCAGACTTGACTTCATAGGTCTAAGCTTTTACTTCTAAAAATGTGTTATAGCTATTTTGCCTACATGTATATGTCTGCACTGTTTGGGTGCCTAATTCTTGTGGAGAAAAGGGTGGTGGGTCCCTTGGAAGAATAACCAGTGCTCTTAACTGCTGAGCCATCTCTCCAGCCCTGAAGGTCTAAGCTCTACACTGATCAAGTAGAAAATAAGAAAATCTAGAAGTCGAGGACACAGACAAACATTTCTCCTGGGTCCTATCTCCAGTCCCAGTTCACTAAGCCATCGGATCACCTTTCTGTACCTATAGATTAGGTAAACTTTCCCAGGGATGGCAGACAGGTTTTTCTTAAGACAGCTGAGAGTGGCATTAGAGCCCAAGTCTTGGATCACCAACCCCAAAGTTTTCAAGTATTCTAGGTAACACTAGACTCTTTAAGAGCTTTTCTCTTACCCGACTTTGTCCAATTTGGGAGTCCTCCACAAGGGAGGAGTCTAGATGAGACAGGCTGGGTGGTGACGTTGAATCTACAGAGCTACTAGTAACCAGTTCTCCTAAAGCATCAACTTGTCTCCTCAGACTGTGTAAGGTGCCCTCTGTCTGCCGCTTCCCTTTGATTAACACTTCTGCTTGCTTAGACATACAGTGTCGAAGTTGAGCCTGAAAAAGTGTTACCAGATGTGGGGTTTACACAGAAGAAATGCACCTCAGCTTTGCCACCTTTGATAAGCAAGTCTGATTTCAATAAACAGGAATGAGGGCAGGGCATGATAGTACCCCCATTTAGTCCTTGCACTGGGGAGGCTGAGGCAGGACAGCCCCAAGTTCAAGACCACCCTATAGTTCCAGGACAGTGTAGGGTACATAGGGAGACCTTGTCTCAAGGAAGTGTTAATAGGTCAAAGAACACAACCTCACATCAGAATTCTGAACTGGACTGAGTGCCTTGCACATGCTAGGCAAATGCTGTACCACTGAGCTATGTGTCCAAGGCCCTAGAATTCAAATGGTTTTGAATGACAGCCATTTGCTACTGTGTGATGTCAGCTTCTCTGAACTTTTACAATATGATTTCTTAAGTGCCCTCTTGAGTGCTGCAATAGAGTGGACTGAGCAGCGTGTGGGCATGTAAATGTTTCCCTACTCTTGCCAAGCTATCTATACTGGTTTTTGTGTTTTAAGAGGCAACCTTGAGTCGATCTTCACGGTGGCGCAGTCTTTCACGGAGTGCTTCTCCACGCCAGTGTTCATCCTTTTTCAGAGAGAAAAGGAGACCAATGAGTCACCAACTGACATGAGTGGGAGCCTACCATCTTTCCCTCCTACCCTGGCATCCCAAAATCCATTTTTAGCTTTCCTGGGGGAGGTGGGAACCAAACTATCACTCTGTGAAGCCCAGGGAAGAGCAGGACAAACTTTACCATGATGTGAATTTGGGAAAAGTTGGATTTTTCTTCAAAAAGTCTCTCATTTGTGGTGAATGGGAAGTTCTCTTTCAAACTTTCCAATTCTCCTAAGTTTTCATTTCTTTCCAAAATAGCTGTTAGATCTGCTGGGAGTTCAGGAAGAAACTGGTTGAAATTCTTCAGACTGGTTCTGATTTCATCTTTCACTTCAGACTTAAGTGTCCTCATTGCATCATTGATTTCCATTTGCCTTCTCTCCAAATCTTTCTGGTTTGCCATCTAAAGAATGAATTGGGGTCCAATAACAGTACTTGGAATCAAGTTGCTTACTATGTCTTACATTGAAGGATCTACAAATACTGGACTGGCTCAGCTAGTAAAGTGCTTGCCAGCCATTGAGAATCATGCCAGTCCTCCATGGCCCCTGTTTCAGTCCCTGCTTTGAGTTCCTGTCCTGACTTCCCTTGGTGAGGGAGTGTGACCTGAGAATTGTAAGCTGAAAT